ATTCATCCATTCATTCATTCATCCATTCATTCATTTCATTCATTCATTCATTCATTCACTCATTCATTCATTCATTCATTCACTCATTCCTTCATTCATTCGTTCGTTCATTCATTCATTCAATCATTCATTCATTCGTTCGTTCGTTCGTTCATTCATTCGTTCGTTCATTCATTCATTCGTTCCTTCATTCATTCGTTCGTTCGTTCATTCATTCATTCATTCATTCCTTCATTCATTCATTTATTCATGAAATTCATACATTCATTTATTCATTCAATCATTCATTCATTCGTTCGTTCGTTCATTCATTCGTTCGTTCGTTCGTTCATTCATTCATTCATTCATTCATTCATTCATTCATTCAATGCATTCAATGCATTCATGCATTCATGCATTCATTCATTCATGCATGCATGCTTGCATGCATGCATGCATGCATTTCATTCGTTCATTCCTTCATTCGTTTTTTCTTTCAGTCATTCAGTCATTCTTTTTTGCATTCATGCATTTATTGCCTTTTTTCTCCGTTGCAAGCTTTGTCAATTTTGTCCAGCTCACAGATAATTCCTATAAGGTTTGTCTCCAAACTTCCGCCCTGGTGCGTGCAGGGCACTACAGTCAGTATCTGGTAAAACGCATATGATTGGGACCGCATTTCTCGTGGTGGCTCTGTTACTGATATGAATGGAGACAATCCATTGGGCCTGAAGTGGTCACCCCAAAAGATTCTGAAGGTTTGCATACAGTGCCCCCCAAAATGGCGAATAATCCCATCCCCCAAATACTTAATACTCTATCTGAGCCCCCAAAACGAATAGATCCAATATCGAATTTTTGCCGGAGATTTGATACTAGGGAGAGGGAATTAATATTATATGGTTCGTGCGAGCACTTGAATGACTTGAATAAGCGTCCTGGCCGCTTTCTCCCATCTCAAGTTCAAAGGCAGGGTCTGGCGTGCTATGGATCAGCATTCCCTTTTGTTGGTGAGCGTGGTGCTAGTGACTGGCTTTGCAGTGGGCTGGCAATCACGAGGGGAAGTGCGCGTGGAAGCCCCTCCTTGCTCTTGTGCCTGCCATTGCGGTTGCCATTGCACAGCTAGCCTGGGAGCTTCGATTTGGTTGGTCATAGCCTTGTTTGCTCTATCAGGAGTCTTTGGAGGGTTGTGCTCAATCGGCGGTCTCCAGAAAAATCTGAAGTGTTTCCTTCCCCATCCAAAGGTGCAAAAGGTGTTTTTGGCCAGACTGGAAAAGTTCTCACAATCACCAGCTAAGTGAACCATGGAAGCAGGGCATCTGGCTTTGGTGTCATACGGTGAAATGCCGGTTGTGTGGCATACCAGAGTGTTGCTATCAAGGGTCAGCGGCAATAATTGGATAATTCTGACACCGGATCATGCCCGGTACGAAGATCTGCTGGATGTGACCAACCCAGACTATGATGACTTTGAATACCTGGGAGCATCCAATGCTATCCCAGCTCGCATCCCAGCTGGCTCGGTGTACGGTTTTGCCCCTTTGGCCCCCGGAGAATTGGCAAGACAGATGATGCTAGCCAAGCTCGAAGCCGAAGCGCTAAGACTCCAACAGAGTTTAGGGGCACCTGCGCCACCAATGCCAGGTGTTCCCGTTGCTCCTCCGGTCCAGCCTGCTCCAATGCCCCCTCCACCAGGATTTCTTGGACCAGGGCCTGCCGCTCAGACACCACTTGCTCCATCTCCAGCCGCATGCTGGGTGACAATAGAATCTGGGGGCACTTGGAAGAAGGGAGATGTGATTGTGGTAGAGCCAGCTCCTCTGCCGCCTGGAACTTTGGTCTTGGGCGACAGGGCTGTTCTGGTAGATCCGACTCTCCAGGGACAAGGGATCTTTTTGAGAAGGGTTCCTCATTCTCAGGCTCCCACCTACCAGCTCGAGGACTTTCGGGTGCTCCTGGTTCAGTTCGATGCTCAGGGTACTCGGCGAAAAGACTTCAGCTCTGCGGTCCCCCTCATGGTTGATGGCAGCCCTATGGGTGGTGGTTTGCAACTTGAGAGCCCTTCCACTGCCCTCAACGCCAAGAGCCTTCGCGATCAGAATTTGACGCCCACCACATACCACGAGTTTTGGCTGAGGAATGGAGACATCCCACGTGGAGATCGCAGCATCTATGAACATGATTGTCTAGAATCTTTGAGGCTATGGTCACGGTGGACCAACTCAATCCCAGTGGCCTTCAGTCTGCAGAGTTGGTGGTCAGGCGGATGCAGGTGATCAGAGAAGCGCACAGGATTTGCCCTTCAGCGCCGGACTATTCATCAGCGGATGTGTTCATGGGCTGGAGGTATAGACGCCAGAACCAGGGTGTCGATTCGGGCTTGGCTGCGTATGTTGCAATGGAATTCAAAAACGATGCCGCCATCGCCAAGGAATCCAGAAAGGCACGAGAAGAACAACAACAACGCCACCAGAACCCCTCGAAGAAAGGGGGGGAGGCGGAGATGCCAAGTGAAGTGGAGAGCCCTGGGCATTTGGCAGCTGGGTCCACAGGGTTATCAACGGCTGCAGCCTTGCTAAATGGAGCTGGGCCCAGTTTTGATTTTCCAGGCGGGGTGTCCTCTTCTGAAGGTCAAGATCGATGGAGAGAACTTTTTCCCCTGCCCATCTCTGCGCCTCCTTCCTCGCGGCCAGGTGCATCGATCTGCTCTCGGCGGCGACTCACCAAGGTCTGGAAGCTGGTGTCAGAGGCTAATGATATAGTTGGCTGTTTGAATGAAATGTACCATCCGGCAAAGAAGGGCTTTGAAGATTTGAAAACTTCGCAAGCTCAGTCGTGCAGCCAACATTCCATTTACAAGCAACTTCAGCGTCGGACTCCAGTTCGACAACCATGTACAGAGCGTGAGGCTGTCAAAGAGCTTCTGCCAAGAGGTGTCGTACAATGGTGAAACATGTGCGGCCACCATGCGCCCATATGAAAGAGACCTGGTGTCTCTCCCGGAATGTGGCTCTCACCTTGTGCCGCTTGAACAGGTACTGGATGCCACGGGACGAGAAGTTGTGGGCAACCCTGAGTTGCACCTGATGTTGGATGAGGCGCAATGGGGAGAGATTATTGAGAAGGGAGAGACGGTCAGACCTTACATGGATGCCAGATTACAAAGCGATCCGCAGCTTTATCATGGTTTCATCAAGGATTTGTTGGACAAGGGACTCATTGGATTCACCAGCAGACCCAAAGATCTAGTAACCCCCTTCTTTGTCGCAAAGAAGAACGGCAAGCTTAGATTCATTTTGGATTGCGGGGCGGTGAACAAAAGATTTCATCCTCCACCGCCTCTGGCGATGGCTGCAGGTAGCATCTGGAGCTCGGTTGGGTTACCGCCTGGGGAGGTGCTATACACGGCCCAGTCAGACATCAGGCATTATTTTTATTCCTTGGAGCTTCCTTGTGATCTTTGCGAATTTTTCTGTCTTCCAGCGATACCACACCACTTGCTTCAGGCTTGGGGCCATCATTCCGCGGCCGCCTTCTCTGCAGATGAGCAAGGCTGGGTCTACCCACATTTGAGAGCAGTACCCATGTGATGGTCATGGGCAATGTGGGTGGCGCAGCGTGTTCATCAAGAGGTAGCCATGAATGCGTCGGGCCTGGGTCATGATAGGGTGTTGGTGGAGGGCAAGCCTTGCCCTGATTTATCAGATGGCAGTCCAATCATTCTACCCTATGCAGACAATCTAAATGTGGCAGGAACCAGCGCGGAGAAAGTGCAGGAGGTGAAAGACAAAGTGGTGGATCGATTGAGGCAACTGGGCTTTAGGGTACATGAAGAGATCGATGCACAGCACACATGTCAATCTTTAGGTTTTTCCCCAACAGCAGAATGCTTTGGGGTCTTCAGCCATAGTAAAGGTTTCGGAGCAGACCGGAGCAGCTCCAAAACCCATTCCCCCAAGGTTCCCAGGTTCCAAGTAAAGGTTCCCAAGTAAAGGTTCCCAGGTTCCCAAGTAAAGGTTCCCAGGTTCCCAAGTAAAGGTTCCCAGGTTCCCAAGTAAAGGTTCCCAGGTTCCCAAGTAAAGGTTCCCAAGGTTCCCAAGGTTCCCAAGGTTCGCTCAAGGTTCCCAAGGTTCCCAAGGTTCGCTCAAGGTTCCCAAGGTTCCCAAGGTTCCTCAAGGTTCCCTCACGGTTCCCAAAAGGTTCCCAAAAGGTTCCCTCAAGGTTCCTTCAGGGTTCCCTGCAAGGATCCCAAGTTTTCCAAGTAAAGGTTGTCAAGGTTCCCAAGATTATTATGTAAAGGTTCCCAAGTAAACGTGGTCCAGGTTCCCAAGGTGACATTGTAAAGGTTTCTAAAAGATTCCCAAGGTTAGATTGTCAAGGTTCCCTCAAGGTTCCCAAAAGGTACCCTCAAGGTTCCTTCAAGGTTTCTTCAAGGTTCCCTGAAGGTTCCCAAGTTTTCCAAGGTTTCTAAGGTTGTATTGTAAAGGTTCCTTCAAGGTTCCCAAGGTTACATTGTAAAAGGTTCTCAAGGGTTCCAAGGTTATATTGTCAAGGTTTCCTCAAGCTTTCCAAGGTTGCATTGTAAAGGTTCCCTCAAGGTTCCCAAGGTTACATTGTAAAAGGTTCTCAAGGGTTCCAAGGTTATATTGTCAAGGTTTCCTCAAGGTTTCCAAGGTTGCATTGTAAAGGTTCCCTCAAGGTTCCCAAGGTTACATTGTAAAGGTTCTCAAGGGTTCCAAGGTTATATTGTCAAGGTTTCCTCAAGCTTTTTCCGAGGTTGCATTGTAAAGGTTCCCTCAAGATTCCCAAGTTTCCCAAGTAAAGGTTGTCAAGGTTCCCAAGGTTGTATTGTAAAGGTTCCCTCAAGGTTCCCAAGTTTTCCACGTAAATATTCTCAAGGTCCCCAAGGTTATTATGTAAAGGTTCCCAAGTACAGTAGTAATATTCGTCGTAATATATAAATTTCTTGAAGATATTTGAATGCGGCTACACGCGCGGAACCCGCGCAGAACAACACGCGCGGAACCCGCGCAAAACGCAGACGCGCATAACGCGCATAACGCGCGGAAACCGCGCGAAACGTAGACGCGTGGAACCCGCGCGTACTATTAATACTTCTAGTAGTAGTAGTAGTAGTAGTAGTAGTAGTAGTAGTAGTAACAGTAGTAGTAGTAGTAGTAGTAGTAGTAGTAGTAGTAGTAGTGGTAGTGGTAGTGGTAGTGGTAGTGGTAGTGGTAGTAAGTAGTAGTATGTAGTAGTAAGTAGTAGTAAGTAGTAGTAAGTAGTAGTAGTAGTAGTAGTAGTAGTCGTCGTAGTCGTCGTAGTCGTCGTAGTCGTCGTCGTAGTAGTAGTAGTCGTTGTAGTAGTAGTAGTAGTAGCAGTAGTAGTAGTCGTAGTCGTCGTAGTAGTAGTAGTAGTAGAGTAGTAGTAGTAGTAGTAGTAGTAGTAGTAGTAGTAGTAGTAGTAGTAGTAGTAGTAACAGTAGTAGTAGTAGTAGTAGTAGTAGTAGTAGTAGTAGTAGTAGTAGTAGTAGTAGTAACAGTAGTAGTAGTAATAAAATCGCAGATGCAGTAGAAATGATACTAATCGTCATATTGATTAAATTATAATTAGTAAAAATAGTAATAAATAATGTTCATCGTTAAATATGATTTTTTCTTAGAGAAATTTGAATGCGACACCGCGCGTGGAACCCGAGCAGAACAACACGCGCGGAACCCGCGCGGAACGCAAACGCGCATGACGCGCGAAACCCGTGCGAAACGCAGACGCGCGGAACCCGCGCGTATTATTACTACTTCTCGTACTAATAATAATAGTAGTAGATGAATAGTAGAAATTATACTAATCGTAGTACTGATTAAATTACGATTAGTAGAAGTAGCAGTGATTTTCATCGTAATATATGAATTTCTTCAAGAAATTTAAATGCGGCTACACGCGCGGAACCCGCGCAAAACAACACGTGCGGATACCGCGCAAAAAAAACGCGCTAAACGCGCGCGTACTATTAATACTTCTAGTAGTAGTACTAGTAGTAGTAGTAGTAGTAGTAGTAGAAGTAGAAGTAGAAGTAGTAGTAGAAGTAGAAGTAGGAGTAGGAGTAGGAGTAGGAGTAGGAGTAGAAGTAGAAGTAGAAGTAGAAGTAGTAGTAGTAGTAGTAGTATCAGTAGTAGTAGTAGTAGTAGTAGTAGTAGTAGTAGCGTAGCCGTACAGTAGCAGTAGTAGGAGTAGGAGTTAGGAGTAGGGAGTAGGAGTAGGAGTAGGAGAGGAGTAGTAGTTAGTAGTAGTACCAGTAGGAGTAGTAATATTATCGCAAATGTAGTAGAAAAGATACTAATCGTAAAATTGATTAAATTATAATTAGTAAAAGTAGTAGTAATATCCGTCGTAAAATATTAATTTCTTGAAAAAAAATTGAATGCGACGACCAACGCGGAACCCGCAGAGAACAACATGCGCGAAACGCAGACGCGCATAACGTGCGGAACCTGCGCGTACTATAGTAGTAGTAGTAGTAGTAGTAGTTGTTGTTGTTGTTGTAGTAGTAGTAGGAGTAGTAGTAGTAGTAGTTGTTGTTGTTGTAGTAGTGGTAGTAGTAGTAGTAGTAGTAAGAAGTAGTAAGCAGTAGTAAGTAGTAGTAAGTAGTAGTAAGTAGTAGTAAGTAGTAGTAAGTAGTAGTAAGCAGGAGTAAGCAGCAGTAAGCAGTAGTAAGCAGTAGTAAGTAGTAGTAAGTAGTAGTAAGTAGTAGTAAGTAGTAGTAAGTAGTAGTAAGTAGTAGTAAGTAGTAGTAAGTAGTAGTAAGTAGTAGTAAGTAGTAGTAAGTAGTAGTAAGTAGTAGTAACTAGTAGTAAGTAGTAGTATGTAGTAGTATGTAGTAGTATGTAGTAGTAAGTAGTAGTAAGTAGTAGTAAGTAGTAGTAAGTAGTAGTAAGTAGTAGTAAGTAGTAGTAAGTAGTAGTAAGTAGTAGTAAGTAGTAGTAAGAAGTAGCAAGTAGTAGTAAGAAGTAGTAAGTAGTAGTAAGTAGTAGTAAGTAGTAGTAAGTAGTAGTAAGTAGTAGTAAGTAGTAGTAAGTAGTAGTAAGTAGTAGTACGTAGTAGTAATTAGTAGTAAGTAGTAGTAAGTAGTAGTAAGTAGTAGTAAGTAGTAGTAAGTAGTAGTAAGTAGTAGTAAGTAGTAGTAAGTAGTACTAAGTAGTACTAAGTAGTACTAAGTAGTAGTAAGAAGTAGTAAGTAGTAGTAAGTAGTAGTAAGTAGTAGTAAGTAGTAGTAAGTAGTAGTAAGTAGTAGAAAGTAGTAGTAAGTAGTAGTAAGTAGTAGTATGTAGTAGTATGTAGTAGTATGTAGTAGTAAGTAGTAGTAAGTAGTAGTAAGTAGTAGTAAGTAGTAGTAAGTAGTAGTAAGTAGTAGTAAGTAGTAGTAAGTAGTAGTAAGTAGTAGTAAGTAGTAGTAAGTAGTAGTAAGTAGTAGTAAGTAGTAGTAAGTAGCAGTAAGTAGTAGTAAGTAGTAGTAAGTAGTAGTAAGTAGTAGTAAGAAGTAGCAAGTAGTAGTAAGAAGTAGTAAGTAGTAGTAAGTAGCAGTAAGTAGTAGTAAGGAGTAGTAAGGCGTAGTAAGGCGTAGAGAGGAGTAGTAAGGAGTAGTAAGGAGTAGTAAGGAGTAGTAAGGAGTAGTACGCAGTATAGTACGCAGTATAGTACGCAGTATAGCACGCAGTATAGTACGCAGTACAGTACGCAGTAGTACGCAGTAGCACGCAGTAAAGTACGCAGTAAAGTACGCAGTATAGTACGCAGTATAGTACGCAGTAGTACGCACTAGTACGCACTAGTACGCACTAGTACGCACTAGTACGCAGTATAGTACGCAGTATAGTACGCAGTATAGTACGCAGTATAGTACGCAGTAGTACGCAGTAGTACGCAGTAGTACGCAGTAGTACGCAGTAGTACGCAGTAGCACGCAGTAGTCAGCAGTAGTACGCAGTAGTACGCAGTAGTACGCAGTAGTACGCAGTAGTAGGCAGTAGTACTACGCAGTAGTACTACGCAGTAGTACTACGCAG